AGGATCTGATCTTATATCCCAGGAATAAAGTCGTTTATTAGACTTCTGACGCTCATGTATGCATTGGGAAAACCAGCCCTTTCCCGGAATATCCTCCTCCTCCGTGAAGGATAATCATAATTACTCTTATTAAGTCCTAACGGAGCATATCCTTCCAAAAACTACCGTGAAATGGATCGCCCTAGCTGCAATAGGTCAAAAATCCCTACTGAAGCCCGCGAATCCCGCCGGGTCGCTCCCTTCTCGCTCCGCAAGGATACATACCTTCTTCCGACCAGAACCGCACCGAATAGACGCCTCGTTTGCGGTCTTCCACTCTCACGTTGCACTCACCGCCGTCCGATTTCTTCTTGGACTGGAAATAAATCTGCAACTTGGCCTCCAGTTTCTCTTCGAATAAACCGGGAGGGGAAACCTCGACAAACAGCGGAGTCACGTCGCAAGCCATGGCCTCCGCCATACTTCCACCTCTCTCCCCCCTACCCTTCAAGGAAGCTTTCGCTTTCGTTTCTCTCGCAAGCGACCTGGCCCGAGAGCTACAAGGAAGCTCAGACCGCCTCCCCTCCTTTGCACGCCGCGACGTAATGCAGCGTCGAGCTGCGGCTCCGGCCTCCTGCGCCGCCCGCTGCCTGGCCGAGGAAGTGCAGTAGCCAGCTGGGGGAGAGGGTCGCTGCTTTCAGCCGGGGTTTCCCGCTGAAGGTTTCTCGGGCGAGGGCCGCAGGGAAGCAGCGAGCGAGCGAGCGAAGTTCTCCTCTTCGTTCTGCAGGAATGACACGTGTTCCTCGCTTGATCTTGATTAACTTAGGGTTGTATTATTTACAGATAGAGATAATCAGAGTTGGAAGGGACCTTGTAGGTCGTCTAGTCCAACTCCCTCCTCCCCTTCATCCCGCGCCTAAGGAGGAAACCTTACACCAGGCGTCTTCAAACTTGACGGCTTTAAGACTAGTAGACTTCAACTCCCAGAATTCCTCCCCCAGTTCTTAGCTCAGGAATTCTGGGAGTTGAAGTCCACAAGTCTTAAAACTTGCCAAATTTGAAGACCCTTGCCCCAGACTATTACTGACAGATGGCAGTCCAGTCTCTTCTTGAAAGTTTCAAGTAATGGCGCTCCCACAACTTCCGAGGGCGAGCTGTTCCATTGGTTGATTGTTCTCACTGTCAGAAAGTTTCTCCTTATTTCCAGGTTAAATCTCTCCTTGTTCAGTTTCCATCCATTATTCCTTATTCGGCCTTTGGGTGCTTTAGAAAATAGCTTGACGCCTTCCTCTTTTTTAGGCGCTCTGTGGGAAGCCACCCCCAGAAGAATAAAATATTTTTGGGGATATTAAAAGAGGTGGAATATTATATTTCCCCAAAGGAGAAATGGAGAAACATGCTCCAGGCTCAATGTCCTACGTAGTAAAACAACTTCCAGCAGAAATCTTTAGAGATGGAGATTTGGGAGCCATTAAGAAAACCCGGCCAATCTGTTCATAAGCAAAATATCTTCAGTTCCAAGGTGATGGGATTAAGAGGGACAGGACATGACCTTTTAGGATATTGAAAGAGCATAGTGATCAAACCAATATTTGCTGTTTACTGCTGATATGATATACTGCTAGAAATCATTTATTAGGAATTAAGCTTTGTTACTGGCTTCTGCTTATATGATTGTATACTGTCAGGGTTAGGGTTAGTTGTTAGGAATTAATTCTAGCTTAGTAACCAGTTCTTGATACTGGTTAGCATTAGTATAAAGTTTGTTATCTTGCTTCTGTGTCTCACTTCTGTTCTTGGCTTCAAAGCTAGGCATATTCTTGAAAATATAGAAGAAACTTATCCAGGAATATCAGGCCCCATAGATAAAGGAATCAAAGTAGGGAGTATCCTGCCTCATAGATTCTGAATCCTAAAACCATTCTGTAGTATAAACAACTTGGCCAGGAAGGGAAATCGCCCCTACACAACTCCATAGATAAGGTGGACAGAGACAGGGGCCTGAACAAAGAACCAGGGGTGGGTTTCAAAAATTTCAGCAACTGGTTCTCTGCCTAGTTGTTGGGTGGGCGTGGCCCTGGTGGGTGTGGCCTAGTCAGCCTGTACCACGGGGGTGGGGGGCGTTTGCTCTCTCTGGGTTCTGAAGGCTTTCCTCATTTTCGGACTTCTGGAACTTCTGGGAGGCCCACTTGGGAGGCCAGCCAGGGATGGGATTTGGCGATTCGCCGAACCGGCCATAACATTAGCTACGGGTTCGCCCAAACCTGGGAGAAGCTGTAACAGCTCACCCCTGCAAAGAATGCTTTAAAGATCATGTTGATAATGAACTTTTGTCTCTGATTGGATAAACTTTGTTTCTAATGGGGTAAAATGTGTATAATACTCTGAGCCACTCTAGCAGGGATGTGGCTGTTCCTTACAAGCATTTTGTCTGTATGTTTTGAATATAGTATTCAGTGTTCACCCAGACATTTTACTTTGGCCATAAATAAAAAGCTGTTATTTTTTTGCAAGCCTCGCCTCAAATCTCACTCTCTTTGGTAACTCAGTTCCTCCGGGAAACTTCTGAGACCTTACACTATAATAGGATTAAGCCACATCATTTAGCAAAAGATGCAAGCCCTTTCATTGCACAATCCCCAGAACAATTCAAATTTCAAAGTCACAGAAACCTATAAAGATCCATCACCTCATTCAACCATTTGGTCAATTGCCCTAGAAAAGTGTGCTGGCAGTGGTGGGGTTCAATTTTTTTCACTACCGGTTCTGTGGGCGTGGCTTGGTGGGCGTGGCAGAGGAAGGATACTGTAAAATCTCCAGTCAGAGGTGGTATTTGCTGGTTCTCCAAACTACTCAAAATTTCCGCTACTGGTTCTCCAGAACTGGTCAGAACCTGCTGAATACCCACCTCTGGTGCTGGGGTTCTGTTCATCAATAAACAGAGTCCTTCTTTCCAAATCAGCCGCCATGTTACTTCCAGCATCTTTCTCCCAGTTTGGAACTGAACCAGATGGATTTTCCTTCCAACATTCTTTGTGGCTTTTTAAGTGGGGTGTCCTACCTAGGGATGGTTATTTCTATAGTTCTTATCTTGCCCATAATGGATGGTTACTCCTAGACAGGTAGTCCACAGCTTGCAATAGTTGGTTTAGCGACCCTTCAAAGCTACAAGGGCACTGAAAAAAATGACTTGTGACCGTTTTTCACACTTACATCCACTGCAGCATCCCCACAGTTACTTGATTTACATTCAGATGCTTGACAAATGATTCGCATTTATGACCTGTTGCAATGTCCTGGGGTCATGTGATTGCCTTTTGCAACCTTCCGAGGAGCAAAGTCAATGGGGAAACCAGATTCACTTAACAACTGTGTGACTAACAACTGCAGTGATTCATTTAACAACTGTGGCAAGAAAAGTCATAAAATGGGGCAAAACTCACTTAACAAATTTCTCACTTAGCAACAAATTTGGGGCTCAGTTGTGTAAGTTGAGGACTACCTGTTCTTTTGCATCTCAGCACAGATGAGCAAAACACAATATGAGGACATAATATGCTTGGCCTTAGACAGAGCCACTTTGGTGTAGTGGTTAAAGCATCAAGCTAGAAATTAGGACTTGCTGATTTCTTCTGCCTTTGGCATGAAGCCAGCTGGGTGACCTTGGGCCAGTCACTCGCTCTTGGCCTCAAGAAGAATGCAAGGGCAAACTACCTCTGAAATCCAGGCAAACAGGAGCTTAGTCAGGTAAATGAACACAGCAGGAGCATCATCAGGTAAATCAAAGGGCACACAGGGCAAAAAAAGACGGGAAATAAGGAAACTCCCCCTTTTTACTCACAGCAACCAATCACAGCTTAGATTGCCTCATGCAGCGGCCAGCTCTCTTTAATCAATCAGCTACAACTGTGTGTTCTGACTTTACACAATCCTCCCTGTTTCAGTTATAAATTTAAATATCTTGACAGGTGAAAGTGGCATTAGTGACTGAGATGACTTTTGAAAAGGGCACCCACAAATTCTGCAAGATGGTGGGCACTGTATTGTGATTCAAGCCCTGTCCCCTTTGTACCTGCATGCCGGATACAATCATTATTTTTTCATTTGTTTATTTCTATTGAACCTTTATTATTTTGACAAATAACCCAAGGTGGTGACATAGCAAACATGCCTTCCTCCTCCTATTTTCCCCACAACTACAACCCTGTGGGGTGAGTTGGGCTGAGAGAATGAATGGTCCAAGTCACTCAGCTGGCTTTCACGGTTAAGGCAAGACTAGAAGGTATTAATTAAAATACAAGTGATACTCAGTTGAGCCCAGAATTTATGTTGCTAAATGAGAAATTTCTTCAGTGAGTTTGGCCCCATTATACAACTTTTCTTGCCACTGCAGTTCTTCAATTAGTAACACGGTTGTTAAGTGAATCTGGCTTCCCCATGGACTTTGCTGGTCAGAAGATTGCAAAATTTGATCACATGATCCCGGGATACTGCAACTTTCATAAAAGTGAACCAGTTGCCAAGCATCTGAATGCAAGTCATGTAACCACAGAGATACTGCAACAGTCATGCGTGAAAAATGGTCATAAGTCACTATTTTCAGTGTCATTGTAACTTTGAATGGTCACTAAACAAAGTGTTGTAAGTCGAGTACTACCTGTATGTAGAGCTTAAGAGAATTGATAGACACCCAAGTATTCCCAATATTATTTTTCTGTCAGATTGGAGATCTTCAGTTGTCCGGAATTTGTTGGATGGCAATCCCCCTCACCATTGACCAATGGCCTGGTGGGCTCTGGCCCAGCATATCTGAAGGGGTACATTTCTTCAGCCCTGAATTAGTGCTAAGAAGCAACTTGACAATGGCATGGATTTTCTGTCAGGGATCTCCTTGGTAACTAGGCCAAAAGATTCTAAGGGAGGTGGCTGGTGGGTTGAAGGCAGTTCCTAGCTCTCAACTTGGGGAAATGGAAGAAGAAAACAAGGACAACTAAGAGGCCACCAGGAATAACTGGATCAAAATGGGGAATATGATGAAATTGCTAGTAAGTGAATAGAAAAAAAAAATTCAAACAGAGCTTTTCCAGCCTATGATGGAAGAAAGGCCTGTGGACATAGGTTTGGAAAAGGCAGGGGAAGCTTAAGGAAAATTGCTATGAATGGGCCAAACTGTGTTTAAGATGTTCCAAAGTATTTTTTTTCCCCACTAAAAAGGCCAATTACATATCCACATTAGATTTCTCCTTGGAATTAACTGTCCAACCATAAAAAAATTAGGTTGATTGGCATTTGTAATCACTGGCATATCCAGCTACCTATAGTAACTAGCCTAAATATTAGGGAGATCACTGAAAGATTTGATGGTAAAACTATAAACTGATACAGGTGGATGGGTGGAAGAGTTCCTAAGTCCTGAAGAGGTTATTAAAACTCAATCATGAAGAAGCAATTTGAAGAATCTGCATTGTTCAAATTGCTTCTCCGTGACTGAGTTTTAATAACCTTTTCAGGCTCAATAACCTTTTCAGGACTATATAGCCACCGGGAGCAAAGATGGGGGATGATAAGGAAGGGTAATAAATGATAAAACATTTCTATGTACAATTGAATTACACGCGTTTGTTGAAGTGTGCAGTGCTTTTCACAGTGCTGCCAAAATGCTTAAAGCAACATGTAGGTAATCCTCGTTCAAAAGACATTATCTCTCTCCTCCTCCCCCTTGCCTTTCTAAGAATCAGTTTGCGATTTTACCTTCTTCTCTTATTATTGGAAGACTTCGCATGATAACCTGTTCACAGAGCAGAAATGCTGTGGAGACTATCACACACATGCGCTTATATTCTCCTATTGCCAGTGAAGTTGAAAAACTTACATTTTCTCTATTGTGTTATAGGTCAAACTTTTCTTCTTGATTGTGTCTCATATAAGGAACTGTTTATTACAAACAACGTTGCTAGATTTTGTCGTAGCAATGAAAATTCAAAATAGATAATTAAGGCTATTGAAAATGAGTAAACTTACTTAGAATTCCTCTTATGTTTTTATTATTTGTCTGTTTTTACACCCTTTTCTGGTCTTCAGAGCCTCCCTTTAGTTTGCAGTATTGGGAAAGAATTTTTCTACACATAACTTAATGTTTTAATATTAATATATTTAATATATGCTAACTTTTAGTTGTTTTCTATCTCTTGCAAGTTTCAGTGTTATTGAAATGAATGTAATTTTTTTTATTCAATTTTATACTGGTCTATGATAGAAATGAAGATTAGAGATAGATAGATAGATAGATAGATAGATAGATAGATAGATAGATAGATAGATAGATAGATAGATAATAGCTGGATGGATGGATGGAGAGAGAGATAATAGACAGCAAGATAGCTAGATATATAGATGATAAATAGAGATAAATATGTATTATTTACTTATTTTATCAAGCTTATAAGGCCACCCATCTCAAACAAAGTGACCCTAGGTGGGAAAGAAAGAAAAGAAAGAGAAGAAAAAAGAAGAAAGAAAGAAAGAAAGAAAGAAAGAAAGAAAGAAAGAAAGAAAG